TGTTAGTATTAATCAGTAATATCTTTAGATTAATTGTATTTTTTAAATCTATTAATTTGGGAAAGGTAAAAAACTCGACATAAATCAAAATTAAATAAAAATGAATGTAAATACACCCAAGAGTGACAGGATAGCTCTAGTCTGTACATATAGTATACAATGTAATAATAAAAAATAGTTTATACGTACAAAGTCAGCCCAGGTTGTGTCTCAGCTGTAACGAGGTGTGAAAGTTATGCAAATATCATAAGATATCTTAAGTGAGGCACAAATGCATTGTACATTTTTTATGTTCTTTGCTTGTATTTTGTTACTTTATAAAAAAATTTCTGATTGATCAAATTGGAGCATTTTTTGTCCCTTTTAGAAAATAACAAATATCTAGAAGAAAAATCTCACAACTGTCAGTAAATCCCTTTTATCCTATTTTTCCTTATAACTACACATAAGCCTATTCTTTTTTTTTTATTAAAATAATTTAACATTTTCATTACATGGAATAGTTTTTTAAAATGGTCAAAGGTATAATAATAATAATAATAATAATAATAATTTTCAGGCGGCCGTTTACCGAAGTAGCTACAATCGTTTTGCACCCTATTGAACATATCGGCAGCTTGGGGGTGACGTACAAAAAAAACACGTGTTTTTTTTTATTAATACTCATCAATCGTAACTTTTTGTCTGATGTACGTACAACAAGGATATGCAGCACAAAGCACAAGAGCCAAAGAGCTGTAACTCAATTCTACTTTACATTTACAAAGACTTTGTGCATGACGTTTCCAAATAAATGCAATTTTCAAGTTATACTAAGACTTGAGCAAAGCAAGTTTTTTCTGATGACGTAGTATGAATTGGGTTCAGAATTTAATGATTGTGCTGTAGCTACTGTATACCACGTTTCGTTCTGAGACGTTACGTTGTTCTCTCTTTACTTCATATCCATTTACTACTTTATCGTTTTATACATACCTTTAAATAGTGATTAATTAACTAATCAATCAATTAATTGTTCTCTACTTAATTTTCGTAAAATAGTGATTATCACATTCTATTCTAAAGTGTATCTTGAATTGTTGTAACTTTTGTCGATTCTTAGTTTCTTGTTATGTACTGTCAATTTAATAAACATTATAACTGCGCCTTAATGTGGCAGTTATTTTTTTGTCGCATCTTTACCCCACTACAGTAATACAACAAAATATCTTTTATAACGAATGCAAAAAAATTATACCTTCAATGTACCTATATATTTACTCGACATATTGTATATCATAAGAAAACAACTGCCCACTAAAAAATTCTCGATTAGTTGCTCTTTATAATGGTTCTAATTAATACATTAACAATGACATTACTTTATTAATAAGTTGTAGTTATTAACTGGTGAAGATTTTTGATGCTTTATATTTATTGTCTTATTAAAAAAAATAGCCACAATATCAATTTGAATAGAAAATATAACCATAAGGAAAATTAATATTGACTGAAATCATCAATGAAAAGGTAGTGCCAGTAAAGATGCGACCAATGCCTCAATATTTTTAAAATATTGTGTTTATTTCTTGCTACAGCACATGGTTCAGACGGGCATGAGCGCTCCTTTTGGGGCGGCTGCGCCCGCTGGGTTTCCTACCCAGAACGGAGACGTGCAAAAGGAAGTGAAGGATGCGACCGTGGCGCTGTTGCCAGCACCTGGACAAACGGCCGCAGCCGCAGTGGCCGCGGCAGCAGCGGCGGCGGGGACGGGACCACCCTTCAGTCCGCCGCCACCCCAATCTGTCGCTCCCGACCAACAGGGTGCAGCAGGAGGAGGAGGCAACAACATCGTCAATAGTCCTGTCAGGTAATCTTGTTACCCATCCTTGCAACCCTGTAGCTACACGGTTGATTAAACTAAGTGATAAGACCAAAAATATTAAGCGGACTATGCATGCAAACAAAATTATTACTGAAGTCTTTTCGTTAAGGTGTTATCTTGAAGTTTTTTCACCGTATTTTTTTTTAGTACTGAATTTTCTTTTATTAAGAAGCATTCATACCTTAAGAAAAAGGAGTTTACTAAGAAAATTTGTTTTGATGAAGTTAGAATAATGATTTTTATTTAGGGGTTCGGCGACGTATTCGTGTGAACAACCCCAAGTATTACAACAGCCTGAGGCCTCGGAGGCGGCAGCAGCACCTCCGACTGCAACAGGCACACCTGAAGCCACCCCTGCGGGTAGCACCCCTGCTCAAGATCCTACCAAAAATCAACCTAAACGATTACATGTCTCCAACATTCCATTCCGATTTAGGGATCCAGATTTGAGAGCCATGTTTGGGGTAAGCCTTAAGACAGTGAAGTAATATACAAAATAATAAAAACTGAAACACATCGGTAAAAACAAATATTTTTCATGGTTTCGATTGTACAAAATTCTTACTTAAGTACAAATATGTTGGTAAAAAAATAGTTTACCGACATTCTTCTTGAAGTTGACTTCAAATATTGTAATACAGCAATGCTGCTAACATAACCTAAGGGGTCAAAGTGCGTAGGGGTCGTAGAGATAATAAGTAGAGCAGGCAATTGCCATTCTGACTTACTTCGCTCGTGTTGTCTTTTTCTACCGTAGCCTTATGATTGTAACCGTATCTGTCTAAAAGAAACTGACAAAACTTCTGTCATTTTGCGGAGCCAACTTCAGAGATGGTGTCGTAAACTATACACCCGCCAATATAATTATTGAAGTGTAAACCTGTTCTTAAAGTATATGTGAAGTTATATGTATAGGTTTTTGACGTGTAATATTCAAATATCATTACAATAGAATTTCTGAACATCCGCTTTTAAGTTAATTAATGACTCGTCTGTTAAGTTAATAATGTACTTATTGCTTCACTAATTTCAAAAAGAANGTTACGAGCAAAAGTGCACTAAAGAGGGGGCTAATTGGTTGAGGATGTGGAAATAAAACACTTGTCTGTGTGAAGTATATTATTTACAAAGGGAAGGAATTCGTTAAATAAATGATGTCATCGTCAATTACTTCTCGTTTAGAAACCGTTACGTTAAATTGTTAATTGTGATGGGTTGAAGGAAAATTGCACTTTCAAAATGAAAAGGGTAAAAGCGTCAAAAATAACAAACGTTTTCATTGTTGTTATAAATTATTTAATATTACTGATGTCATTTATAATTCAATTGTGTTTCTAAAGTAGATCGACACAAATCTACGTAGCATTTTCTAAAATGTAATGTTCTTTTTATAAGTATTACATGAAAATATGTAAAAAAATCCTTGACCAGTACAAAAACTAACAATAAGTATTAAAAGCTCCGGGAAATCGAGTATTTCTGCTAGTAATTTATACTAAACATAAATAGTTTACTGTTTACGTCAACCACATGGTTTGTTATTTTAACCATGAAGATTTTCTGTCTGTCTTCATTAAACCCAATTCTCTCTCATTAAGTAATTTTATTGTTAAACAACCTTATTAAAATTTCAATATTTCTGCTTCAATTCCTTTATTTTTTAATGAATTAGTGTTATGACTGGTTTATGGTGGTTGGTCCTTAAAATATTTAAATGTTTCATTTATTGCTCCTTTATTTTTTGCGCTCAACTTATTCTTATGGTCAATCCTGGAAAATGAAATAAATTAAAAGCAAACAATTTGTGTAAGAAGTTAAAATCATGGGCAACATGCCGTGAAGCATTTCCGGATAATGTTTTTTCTTTTAATGCAATTAAAAATTACATGGCACCTTAATGGTTTTCACTTAGAGTAAATACACAAAACATGTAGGACACATTATTGAACTGACTAATACAATAAGTAATTTTTAAAAATGAGAAATGATGTTATCTAATTTAGGATAAAAACTCAAATATGCAAGGAAATTATTATTACCATTAAAGAAAAATTGTTTTTAACCATTTGGGAATTTAAATATTGCTTCAGATAATTTTGGTACGCACCTAAATAAATTCCTCATGGTATAACTTCAAATTCTTCCGCACCCTCCCTATACAGGAAAAAAAATTTACCCCCAATGCTTATAAATAAAGTACATAATATATTTCAAAATGCCACCCACTCCTATCATGATTTATTTCGCTGTCATCATCAATATTTTTAAAATATTGTGTTTATTTCTTGCTACAGCACATGGTTCAGACGGGCATGAGCGCTCCTTTTGGGGCGGCTGCGCCCGCTGGGTTTCCTACCCAGAACGGAGACGTGCAAAAGGAAGTGAAGGATGCGACCGTGGCGCTGTTGCCAGCACCTGGACAAACGGCCGCAGCCGCAGTGGCCGCGGCAGCAGCGGCGGCGGGGACGGGACCACCCTTCAGTCCGCCGCCACCCCAATCTGTCGCTCCCGACCAACAGGGTGCAGCAGGAGGAGGAGGCAACAACATCGTCAATAGTCCTGTCAGGTAATCTTGTTACCCATCCTTGCAACCCTGTAGCTACACGGTTGATTAAACTAAGTGATAAGACCAAAAATATTAAGCGGACTATGCATGCAAACAAAATTATTACTGAAGTCTTTTCGTTAAGGTGTTATCTTGAAGTTTTTTCACCGTATTTTTTTTTAGTACTGAATTTTCTTTTATTAAGAAGCATTCATACCTTAAGAAAAAGGAGTTTACTAAGAAAATTTGTTTTGATGAAGTTAGAATAATGATTTTTATTTAGGGGTTCGGCGACGTATTCGTGTGAACAACCCCAAGTATTACAACAGCCTGAGGCCTCGGAGGCGGCAGCAGCACCTCCGACTGCAACAGGCACACCTGAAGCCACCCCTGCGGGTAGCACCCCTGCTCAAGATCCTACCAAAAATCAACCTAAACGATTACATGTCTCCAACATTCCATTCCGATTTAGGGATCCAGATTTGAGAGCCATGTTTGGGGTAAGCCTTAAGACAGTGAAGTAATATACAAAATAATAAAAACTGAAACACATCGGTAAAAACAAATATTTTTCATGGTTTCGATTGTACAAAATTCTTACTTAAGTACAAATATGTTGGTAAAAAAATAGTTTACCGACATTCTTCTTGAAGTTGACTTCAAATATTGTAATACAGCAATGCTGCTAACATAACCTAAGGGGTCAAAGTGCGTAGGGGTCGTAGAGATAATAAGTAGAGCAGGCAATTGCCATTCTGACTTACTTCGCTCGTGTTGTCTTTTTCTACCGTAGCCTTATGATTGTAACCGTATCTGTCTAAAAGAAACTGACAAAACTTCTGTCATTTTGCGGAGCCAACTTCAGAGATGGTGTCGTAAACTATACACCCGCCAATATAATTATTGAAGTGTAAACCTGTTCTTAAAGTATATGTGAAGTTATATGTATAGGTTTTTGACGTGTAATATTCAATTATCATTACAATAGAATTTCTGAACATCCGCTTTTAAGTTAATTAATGACTCGTCTGTTAAGTTAATAATGTACTTATTGCTTCACTAATTTCAAAAAGAATGACGTTTCTGTCATATAAAAGCTTTGTCTATGTATTTATATTGTACAAATTGTTTAAAATTTTTATTTTTTCAGCAATTTGGGCCAATTCTAGACGTAGAAATTATTTTTAATGAGAGGGGATCGAAGGTATGCATCAGTTTTTTTATTTTAATAAATTGAAATATTTTACAAAACTTGTTGCATTATATCATATACACCACATCCCTAAACGTCATTAAAAAATATTTGTTTCAAAAAAAAAATGCACAGTAATTACTTTGATGCCCAGAAAACAAATAATTAAAGGCATATAAAATTAGATAATGTTCACACACATGGCTGCACTTTAGTATTTAGGGCAACCCCTGTCACGGTTGGATACCTGTTTGGAAAGCCTATGGAGGATTACAAAAATCGAAGTCCGTCATGACAAAAACCTAATCCAACTTACATACTTATCATATGTGTATTTGTGTAGAATTTTGTCTGGAATTAGCTGACTATTAAAAAGTCCAAGTAAAGGATAGAATTGTGCTTTAAACTTATCTTCGATGTACAGGAAGTTGCTGTTTGGTGGAATTTTTTAACTGAAAATTACCAATCTTTTAACCTGGTGGACATGTTTAAGGGTAAAGACGGTCAGTTAACTTAGGAATTTGAGTACTGAATCTACAGAATTATGAGCACAAAGGATGAGATTAATATTACAATTCTAGCTTAATTTAAGCCATATGCAATGTATTATTAAAAGTCTAACCCTTCTCCCATACATTTGTTATGGTTAATGGCGTATCACAGTTTTGGTTGTTTCCGTCATGAGTGATCTTCGCCATTGTGCACCTATACTCATAAGCTTTCCAACAGAGGTCAGTCATTTTGGCGGCTACGGTCCCAAATATTAAAGTACTGCTTACGTTATTTATAAATCAATTTTGTTTTTTTTTTTAATTTTTGTTATTCTTTATTACTGTAAGTAGCAGCAAGTTTTGTTTTTAAAACCGAAAATTCTACTTTACATTTACAAAGACTTTGTGCATGACGTTTCCAAATAAATGCAATTTTCAAGTTATACTAAGACTTGAGCAAAGCAAGTTTTTTCTGATGACGTAGTATGAATTGGGTTCAGAATTTAATGATTGTGCTGTAGCTACTGTATACCACGTTTCGTTCTGAGACGTTACGTTGTTCTCTCTTTACTTCATATCCATTTACTACTTTATCGTTTTATACATACCTTTAAATAGTGATTAATTAACTAATCAATCAATTAATTGTTCTCTACTTAATTTTCGTAAAATAGTGATTATCACATTCTATTCTAAAGTGTATCTTGAATTGTTGTAACTTTTGTCGATTCTTAGTTTCTTGTTATGTACTGTCAATTTAATAAACATTATAACTGCGCCTTAATGTGGCAGTTATTTTTTTGTCGCATCTTTACCCCACTACAGTAATACAACAAAATATCTTTTATAACGAATGCAAAAAAATTATACCTTCAATGTACCTATATATTTACTCGACATATTGTATATCATAAGAAAACAACTGCCCACTAAAAAATTCTCGATTAGTTGCTCTTTATAATGGTTCTAATTAATACATTAACAATGACATTACTTTATTAATAAGTTGTAGTTATTAACTGGTGAAGATTTTTGATGCTTTATATTTATTGTCTTATTAAAAAAAATAGCCACAATATCAATTTGAATAGAAAATATAACCATAAGGAAAATTAATATTGACTGAAATCATCAATGAAAAGGTAGTGCCAGTAAAGATGCGACCAATGCCTCAATATTTTTAAAATATTGTGTTTATTTCTTGCTACAGCACATGGTTCAGACGGGCATGAGCGCTCCTTTTGGGGCGGCTGCGCCCGCTGGGTTTCCTACCCAGAACGGAGACGTGCAAAAGGAAGTGAAGGATGCGACCGTGGCGCTGTTGCCAGCACCTGGACAAACGGCCGCAGCCGCAGTGGCCGCGGCAGCAGCGGCGGCGGGGACGGGACCACCCTTCAGTCCGCCGCCACCCCAATCTGTCGCTCCCGACCAACAGGGTGCAGCAGGAGGAGGAGGCAACAACATCGTCAATAGTCCTGTCAGGTAATCTTGTTACCCATCCTTGCAACCCTGTAGCTACACGGTTGATTAAACTAAGTGATAAGACCAAAAATATTAAGCGGACTATGCATGCAAACAAAATTATTACTGAAGTCTTTTCGTTAAGGTGTTATCTTGAAGTTTTTTCACCGTATTTTTTTTNAGATTATTTATCGAACACACTAAGGAAGAAATCCAACTAAAAAAAGTGTAAATCATCCGAAATTAAAAACATCAGCAAAAAAAATTACACTTGTATTGATATCTTTCAACTTTTCCTTTTCTTCATTTTAATGAAATATTATTCCTTAAAAAATCAACTGAAATAGTACACAAATACACAAATTAACTTTTAAAATCACTGTACCTCCTTCATATTTGGAAAATGTTTTATAATTATCTTAAACTATAAGTAGACAAATATAATATTTAAAAGTATAATTAATAAAAACCATAGTTACTGTTCTCGATTTGATTATGTTGGAGTCATTTTACGGTCATTCCAATTGTTTCAAGTTGTTGTCCTTAGACATAACGACGAATTTAGTAATTGACGAGATTCATGATGAAACCGTTCCGTTTCCCTCCCCCTCCCCGCACGGGCCGCCGAGGAGGTAAGTGGGTAAGGCCAGAGACGTCGCAGGGTCGGCGCCCCCGGCTTCACGCCACACGGATGCCCGGGGCGTCGGCCTCGCGTCGTCCCACTGATTCTCACTAGACGTAAGCTAGATGTAAGCAACTTTTGCCCGGAACGCCCCTCCCGTGCTACTGCTGCTGTCGCAGAACTCTAGCCCGGCATCATGGACATTATTATGTCTAGAATTAATTTTTTTGTTTACTTTTGCATACATAATTAATTTTTGTAACTACTAATTGTAAGATAAACCAATGTACAGGGTGGTTTTTTATTAACATGAGCTCTCCACACTCTAAGCTAGTACTACTTTTATTACTACTACATTAGAATCAGTCGATCGACAGATGAATGCTATTGTCATACCAACTCACTATCAATCATTTGTTCTCATGTAACCTTAGTTTATGTTACTTTATTTTCTACATTGTTATTATTATTTTTTGTTTTATTTTATAATCATCGCCGTTGTCTCCTTTTTGTTGTTTATTAATACAGTCGTAAGTAGATCTTCATATAGTACTGCTGAATCATTATCTAGAACATTTGAATTACAATAACATGGTTTTGGCTTTTTCGGACTAGTTTAATAATCATAAATATTCATGTCGTTTATAATATTCTTATGTATATTTATAATACTTACCTGTGACAAACATTAGAAGGATAATATGCACATAATAACACATTCTCAGTTGTTTTAATTTGCCAAACAACATTTGGGAATTTTTTTATTTTTGTTTCTTCTTCGTTAACTTTATTTTAAATTTATGAAACTTGATTGGGAAATATTTTTTTTTCTTTTAAGATGGTCATTCGTTCGTTGACCACTGTTTTCCATAAACAGCGAAAACAAAATATTTACCTCTTAGATAAAATCAGGAAAAAAGGTTATTAGTTTTAAAAAAGGAACTTATGCCAATCCTGGTGTATTATCTATTTTTATGCCGGTTGCAATATAAAAGAATTTAAATAACACTATTGAACTAGGTGTAATTTTGCGCATGCGCTGAAATATTAAAATGTACTTAAACTATAAAAATCATTTTAGTATAAACATAATATATACATAATTACAGTTTATGTAACTAAAAATATCGGTATAACCCGTTCTGTAGTATTTATAACCAATTATTCGAAATTATAATGGACATTAGTGAGTACTTTTCTATAACAGAGACTACGTGTTTTCCCGTTTTAGAACTGTGTTATGATTATTAAAGTTCACTTATGCTCCATTTAATGTAAACCTTTATTTCATAGTATAAATTGAGAAGGTTTATACATATAATCTCTTGAAATCACTTTAGGAATAAAACCTTATCCCTTCAGTGGTTTACAAGGA